TGTTTAAAGCTTGGGAAATCTTTTTGTATCCAAATCCGGCTTTAAACTTCTCCACAACAGTATCTCGGACCTGCCTGGTGTGTTCCTTTGTCTTCATGGTTCTCTCTGCGCTTTAAACAGAACCCTGAGACTATCAAAGAGCAGGTGCATTTATACGGAGACTTGATTACACACAGGTGCAATCTATTTATCATCAGTCATTTAGGACAACATTGGATCATTCAAAGATCCTCACTGAACTTCTGGAGTGAGTTTGCTGCACTGAAAGTAAAGGGGCCGAATAATATTGCACGCCCCACTTTTCAGTTTTTTATTTGTTAAAAAAGTTTAAATTATCCAATAAATTTCGTTCCACTTCACAATTGTGTCCCACTTGTTTTTGATTCATGACAAAAAATATATTTTTTATATCTTTATGTTTGAAGCCTGAAATGTGGCGAAATGTTGAAAGGTTAAAGGGGGCCGAATACTTTCTCAAGGCACTGTAGATAATCTTAAAAAGGTCAACACTTTTTATTTATAAACTCTGCTTACATTTTATGACGTATTTGAATGAAACATATTTACTGATCATAAATATTGATAATTATTGATTACGGAAAGATAAGTAAGTGCACTTTGTTTAAAGACATGATAAATCTGATATTCATTCATTCATGCAGTTTCTTTTGATAGTTCTAATGAACTTTTGTTCAATGACACATTTTCATATTTTTTTATGACAAATTGTTTGATATTTTCATTTTTTGAATTGGATGATTTGATTGTTTTGATAATTAATTATTAATTTTATATATTGAAATAATGATTTATGTAACTTATAACACTTCAATGTCATACCACTTTTTTCCCTGTTTATAGCCATTAAAGTTTTGTTATGGTAACAATGTTACCGATGCATGTTTTTATGCTGTACCTATGGTCCATCCCATTACAAAAACCTATGCAGGTTTTTGTAATGGGATGGACCAACCCCATGAACTGATCCTTTCTTCAATCAATCAATCAATCAAAGTTTATTTATAAAGCGCTTTTCATACAACAGATGCAACACAAAGTGCTTTACAGTTTGGCTAAAAAACAATCCTGCCCATGCCCTCCCCCCGACCGCCCAACAGACCCTCCCCAGACCACAAGCAAACACCCCCCCCCCCCCCCAAGCAAACACCACACACGCACACACACACGCACCGATAAAACAATAAAACGATGATAAGAGACTTGGCAGGGTTCAGATGCAACCGGCTGAAGAAACGCCATCCAAGGAGCCGTCAGCGCCAGGAGCAGAGAGCCGCCCATAGCCAAAGGGGACGACACAGGACCCAGAGGAGACCCAAAACCGAGGCCCCGGGCCCCCACCAGGTCCAAGAGTCCGACCCCCACAGCCACAGCCAACCACCGCTCCCAGCGCAGAGGGCTCCTCCAGAGGAAACACTGGGGATACTAAAAACAATACAATAAGTAAAACACTAAAATGTGAGCCTGAAAGGAACTATCACACAAAACATGAATAAAAGCAATAGCAATATAATAAATAATAAAAGATAAATAGAATATATAAAAATGGACTAATAAATACTAATCAAAAGCTAATCTAAAAAGGTGTGTCTTGAGCCTGGCTTTAAAAATATGAATGTTCTCTGCGGCCCTGAGCTCCTCCGGCAGACTGTTCCAGAGACGGGGGCCGTAGTGCTGGAAAGATGCCTCGCCGTGAGTGTGTGTCCTGACTTTTGGAATGGTTAGGAGTCTGCTGCCGGAGGAGCGCAGGGGCCGGGAGGGTTCATAGGATAAAAGCAGTTCTGAAAGATAAGAGGGCCCAAGACCATTAAGACATTTAAAAACCATTAGGAGAACCTTAAAATCAATCCTGAAACACATGGGGAGCCAATGCAGCGATTTTAAAACCGGTGTAATGTGGTCCCGCCCACTGGTCTTAGTCAGGACACGTGCGGCCGAGTTTTGGAGTAATTGAAGACTTGCAATGTTCTTTTTGGGAAGACCAGAGAGCAGGGCATTACAGTAGTCAATGCGACTGGTGATAAAAGCATGCATCAGCGTCTCCGTGTTGCCCCGAGAGAGAATGGGGCGGACTCTGGCGATGTTCTTCAAATGATAAAAACCTATTTTTGTTATATTCTTAATGTGAGGAATAAAAGTCAGCTCAGAGTCAAAAATTACGCCCAGGTTTTTCACATGTGGTGATGGATTAAAAGAGTGTGATTGGAGTTTTGATAAAAGTTTCTCTCTCTGGGCCTCAGGACCGATGACTAAAACCTCAGTTTTGTCCTGGTTAAGCTGGAGAAAGTTTTCTGCCATCCAGGATTTCAGCTGTGTGTCATCTGCATAACTGTGGAAGTTAATTCCATGTCTCCTGATGACACCGCCAAGAGGGAGCATGTACAGGTTAAAAAGGACTGGACCTAAAATGGAACCCTGGGGCACACCACATGTGATTTTATGGACCTGAGAGGAGCAGGTATCCAAACTTACCATGAAGGATCTGTCTGTTAAATAAGAAGTGAACCATTTGTGGACAGCACCAGAGAGGCCGAGGTGTTGTAGGCGTGATAAAAGAATGGTGTGGTCTACTGTATCAAAGGCAGCGCTTAGATCCAGTAGAACCAACACAGTCACCTTTTTAAAATCCTAATTTAATCTAAAATCATTTAAAATCTTTAAAAGAGCCGTCTCTGTGCTGTGGTTCACCCTAAAACCTGATTGAAATGTCTCTAAAATTTGCTGTTGATCTAAAAAGGCATTGAGCTGGGTAAAAACAAGTTTTTCTAAAATGTTGCTTAAAAATGGTAAGTTGGATACCGGTCTGTAGTTGTTAAGATCATTAAAATCTAAATTGCTCTTCTTCAGAAGGGGTCTCACCACAGCCGCTTTGAAGGCTGCAGGAAAGACCCCAGTCTGAAGAGAGCAATTCATCAGGTTTAAAAGCTCCTCTCTAAAAGATTCATAAAATGACTTAAAAAATGGAGTGGGGACTGGATCTAAAAAACATGTGGTGGGCCTCACTGTGGAGAAAACTTTATCAAGCATCTCAGCATCAACCAGGACAAAACTGTCCAGTGTTTCCTCTGGCGAAGACAAGCAATCAGATGTGTTAAAAACAGTAGTACGATTGGATAAAATGTTACATCTGATTGTATTTATCTTCCCCATGAAGTGGACTGCAAAATCCTCACAGAGGGAGTCTGTGGGGGTTAAACGAGACATGCTAAAATCAGGGTTTATAATGGTGTCGATGGTTGAAAATAGGACTTTCGCATTGTTTTTGTTTTGGGTGATTAGTTTAGAGAAATAATTGTTTCGGTTTTTCCTAATTGTTTTGTTGTATGTTTTTTGTTGGTTACTGTACATTTCGTAATTGATTGTTGTTTTGTTTTTCCTCCACCTACGTTCTGCCACCCTGCACTCTCTTTTCATTCTCCTTACTTCTTCGTTCCTCCATGGGGGTACAGATTTTGTTCCAGTAGTTTTTGTTTTCAAAGGAGCAACCTGATCTAACGTAGTTTTGAGTCTACTGTTAAAATCATTTGCTAACAGATCACAGGGGGCGGGTAAAACCAAGTGAGGAGTGTTATTAAGAATGTCTATAAAATTTGCAGCCACTTCAGGGGTTAGATGTCGCTTCCTCACGGTTCTCACAGAGGTCTCACGCTGGATAAAACCAGTGATGTTAAAAAACACGCAGTAGTGGTCAGAGACAGCCAGGTCGACAACAGAGGACACACCCGCAGTCAAGCCATAAAATCCATGTAATTAAGGACATTTAAGAACTCATTGGAAAAATTATCTGAGGGATTGTTGATGTGTATGTTAAAATCACCGGTTAGAAGAATCATATCATAAGAATTGTATACTGATAAAAACTCTGAGAATTCCTTAATAAAACGGCAGCACCTCTTTGGTGGCCTATAAATTATGACTGCTAAAATTTTGGGGTTTCTAAAAACAAGAGAAAGATATTCAAAACTTGAGTATTGGTTAAAAATGATAGGTTTGGTGGCAAGAGTATTAGTGCATAGTGAGGCTGTGCCACCGCCCCTTTTCCCTTCTCTTGTGGTAAAAGCAAAGCTAAAATTTGGGGGAGAGGCCTCTGTGAGAATAGCCGATGCATCTGAACCAAGCCAGGTCTCAGTTAAGAACATAACATCCAGGTTTTTTTCTAAAATAAGATCATGAATGATAAAAGTCTTGTTTAAAAGAGAGCGTACATTTAAAAGAGCTAGGCTTATGGTTAAAAGAGGTGTTGGCGGTGTACCTTATGAGGCAGATTTATTTTTTGCAAGTTCAGAGTTCGAAGGGACGTGGTGAGGAGCAGAGGACGTGGAAGGAGGGAGGGCAACAGGGATGAGGTTGGTGAGACATGGTTTCCTGGAACTGGAGGGTCTGTAGGGACGGGGTCTGGATATGGCTGGGATCTTGTGCTGGGGAGAAGAGGGGCTGGTGTTGAGGGGTGACGGAGCAGGTGAGATGGGGGATGCGGTAGTGGGTTGTCAGAAATATATGGAGCGGGATTGAACTGTGTGGATTATGTTGGAGGTAAGGTACCGGTTGCCAAGGGGGGTGATATGAAGTCCATCTCGTTGGAAGAAGAGGGGGCGGTCCCAGAACAGATTAAAATTGTCTATAAAAGCAAAGTTGTGTTGGAGTGACGAATGATTGAGCCAGGTGTTAAGTGATAAAATTCTGCTAAAACGCTCCCCGCCACGGGCCAGAGTGAGCAGAGGGCCAGAGTGGGCAGAGGGCCAGAGATAAAAACAGTTTTTCCAGTCTCTGATAACAGTTTAAAAAGGTCCTGAAAATGGAGTTTTGTGTTCTCAGACTGGCGGAGTGATGTATCGTTGGTACCAACATGGACGATGATCCGGGTTATTGTGCTTGGGGCAGTTTGGAGAAGTTTAGGAAGTGTATGAAGTAGAGTGGTGACAGTGGCTCCAGGAAAGCAGTGCGTGGTGGCGTTAAAAAACCTACATCTACGGATGATGGAGTCACCCACCACCAGTGTTGTGGGAGCAAAGAGGGGTCGTGGAGGGTGTGATGTGACAGGCACCTGTGGAGGGGCTGGGGGTGAGAGGGGTACAGAGGGGCCCTGGGGTGTGCCCGGAGCTGAGCCCCCATGAGCGGCAGTGGAGCAGCATGGAGGACCCGGAGACGGATGTTTTGTTGGAGCCGGGGCGACCATAGTGGCCGTGGTGGTGGCAGTAGTGGTGGTGGCGGGCGTGGGAGGGACCAGCGCAGGGCTGGAGGGGTGCCCAACACCCTCAACTCAACAAATGTGCTAGACACCTACGCGGTAGGACAAACTGTCTATTGCTTTCCACCTTTTCTTTTGAACTGAACTGAATTAAGCCTTGCATCTCACAAGTGGTTTTTGTTTGAACATTATTTGCTCCGACAGACTTTGTAGTGGATTTTTGTGCAATGATATTTCATATAATGAACTAATTCCATACAAATGAATACAATTCATACAGCAGTATATATCAGTTGTCCTCATTTGCACTCAAGCTCCTTGCCGATCCATCCTCTTCTGTTTACAATCCTACTCGTTAGTTAGTAGCCATAAGTCAGACTCTTCCTAGCCAAGCTAACATTACAAGGCAATTTGGGAAAAAAATCTCTGTAATCAGTGCCAGGTCACAGGGTTGTAAATGTATATGTGCTTTGTTTATTGATTATATATTATATTGATGTTCGGCTTGGTCAGGACCATAGCTGGAGGATTTACCTATAAACCAGAATCCAAGTCTAATTTCTCCCTCCCGAAACCTTTTACGACTCATGCCAAATCCATACAATTCTCTCAGTATGACAGGCCTGTAGCTCTCCCATCGTGTCTTGCCTGCAACTCTTCAAAGCCTTAATTCTTTTTTCCTCTCATATACACTCTATAATATTTATCAAACTTTGAGCCAAACCAAGCGGCTGCAGAGGTCTTCTGGGAGCTGAATAAAGCGGTGGAGTCTTCGCTCCTCTTCTTCCTCTTCTTGGCGTCCACAGAGAGAGTTCCAATGGCTGTGGGCGACAACGTGGCAGAGACGGGAGCAGAATGAGAAGCAGCATCAAAAGGGCTTGGCATTGAGCGGCAGGAGACATGAGACTGCTGTGCAGACGTGACACAGAACACACTTCTGCATTCAAAAGTGAGGCCGCGTGTGTGTCGAGTGATAAGCAGACACAGGTTGCGAAAAAGGAAAAACAATGTTTAAAATGCCTTTCTATAGGTTAAAACTGTTTATTACAAAAAAGGGAGGAAAATACTGCATCCAAACAAGTTGTGCTGTAGCAGGGGTGTTCAAACTTTTCAGTAAAAGAGCCCCTTTAGGTCATCAGACTTGACCTGGGGCCTGAATTTAAAAAACTAGATTTGAAATGGATTGACTGGATTCTTAAATTTAAAATGGGTTATGATACGTCCTTATTGACTCATACTACAGCTGCCTTTTATGTGGAATGTTGAGACACAATCAAAAAACAAATGTCAGTAATAACAACAGTGTCAACGACTGGATTCCAGAGGGTCTGAGAACAAGGTATAGCATGACTATATTGGTGGAGGTGAAGTTGGTTGGATGACACTGTCAAAGTGTCTCAATGGGAAACATTCTGTTAGCAGCGGAGGGCCACATAAAATGGCAGAGGGCCGCAATTGGCCCGTGGGCCTGAGTTTGGACATGCCTGTGCTAAAGGAAGACGCATGTCTCACATAACAGTACAGTCTGCTATAGCCTCCTCTCAAATCCATTCACTTTATTTTTGTATAGCCCTAAATAACAACAGCAGTTATCTTGGGGGACTTTACAAAGATGTTGATTTGCCTGCACAGATCAGAGAAACAGTTGAAGAAGATGACAAAGTCTGGGATTGCGTCTTTAATTCAGACAGAAGACATGTTTTATTGTCGATGGTAGAGACAGCACGAACAACACGAACAAGGGATGTTACGACAGCAAGTGTATTACTGTATACAGCATGGAAGAATGCAGTCCTCCAATCAGCAGCTTCCACGGTGTGCTTGTAGCTTGGCCTTCAGAAGTCAAAACAAGGGAAAAGTACAGGCTTCTGCACATTGATAGAATGATGAGTTTAACCTTAACAAAAGTTGCTTCAAAGTGTTGAAATCTCACACAGTTCATGAATGACAAACATCTGCAAATAGTACTTTTCCATCAATAGCAAAGGAAGGTTTCATCTGTACTTCTACTTCCCCTTGAAAAAGTTATTTGGATTAAGGACAAAACGTCGGGAAGAAGTTCAGATGATGGGTGAGAAACCTTCCTTTGCTTTGACTAATCCCTGTACAACTCAGAGCTTACATAAACATTTCCATCAATAGTGAAGTTTTGAAATACTGTGTACATAACATAGATTGAAAATATTAATGAACATAGTCACGCCTATCCGCCGTTGAAACTAATGTGCCATCACTTTTTTCCTTCTGCGGGCAGTTTCAAAATGACTGCGGGTCAGAAAAGCATTGGAGCATGCGTCAGCTACACGGACCCCATTCATTTGAAATGGACTGGTCCAAAAAAATACTCCCCTCAGCATTGATAACATCTGGAACATAGCGTTGGGCTGAGTTGGGCCGACTTTTGGATCATCCTATAGAGACGTTTCTAGAGAAAACAAGACGCCATACAAAAGCATTGGGTCATTGTCTTTCTACCCCACCAGAAAGGAGTGAGATTGTGCATGTGCTCGTGGACCTTTTAGAGCCGGGACCCGCCCCCACTGGTACATATTGAGCAGAGCAAGTAGAATGTGTTCTTCAGAATCAGATTGGCCCATCTTCTCCTTTGTGGCTTCCTGTCCTGCTCTTTACAAAATCTGTCTCTCTTTCTTTGTTTTATTCACAGCAGTGATGTACTGAACCCAGCTGAGTCCAAATGCGTCGCTTTTGGCTAATGCGGAAAAAAGAGCATTGCGAATACATGATGCAAGAACGCCACTAAAATCTGCAACAGCTCCCATTTGAATTTAATTACGGCATATTAGCTGGAGAACAAGATTCCATTTCTCCAATTTAATATATACTTTGACCAGGAGAGTAAAGAGCCACACTTTGGTAAGATTACTTTGATTGAATAAAAATGTAGATGTTTTGAAGCAGCGTCACATTTTTTGGGGGAAAAACAAAGAAAAATCCTGTTGTAATAAGTAAGTAAGAAAATAATCTTTATTTATGAAGACCAAGGTCACCCAAAGCACTTCACAATTGCTGAGATGTTTTTCCATTCTCTCCACACATTATCTATTTGTTTGATAAGGACAGTACATTCACACATGGTCAGAGCAAAAGATGCAACAAATACAGAGACATAGGAAATGCTAATTCTCGTCACCTCCCTCTGGTTGTGCTTTTCCCTACAATAGATGAAATACAAAAGTCATTATACCCCTAAACAGACACAGAATAGCCTTTGCCATAGAAACCCATGTAAAACCATTCATTGGAAAAGCAAAACAAAATCCCATGCATTCACTCATTACATTCAGACCTGTTTTATATGCACATAGTAACCGGAGCCCCCGCAGGAACTCTACACAGACACAGGGAGAACACGCAAACTCCAAAAATACATTCTGTACATGTGAAAATGAGTGATAGGGAGTGTTTTAAAAGCCAGAAACTCGTCAAATGGTTTTTAGTTACACTTTTTGTGGTTTAAAAGTCAGGTATCCTAGCTTTAAGCAGAAACTACATGGATAAACATGGGAAGATGAGTGATCGGAACGAAAACTGGTTCAATGGATACGATGCTGTGTCCATGTTTCTGTCATGTCTGTCTGTATTTTGAATGTGTAAATGATGATAATAATTTGACATTGCTACATGAACATTTTGTATCCCAGCTAAGTAAGAGTGAAGTTGGGTGTTATCAATATTGTTTAGCATATTTTAGATTTTCAATTTAGAATCTCTTTCCGGTTACTTTGTCACTTTTCTCCCTCCGACACAAAGCCACAGTCTACGTTACATACATGTACTGGTGTTACATATAGGTTGGCAGATTTTTGTTTTTAACTTCTGAATCTCTTTCCAGTCACTTTTTCCCCACCACAAAACCACAGTCTACATCAGGGGCGTCAAACTCACTATGGGTGAGGGCCGAATAAAACATATAAGGGCTGGTTGGGGGATAAAAGTATAAAAGTGGTTATCTTTAATTATAAATATTTATTACATCGTGAAGTTATTTGGATAAATTACCTGTTTCACATTAGTTTGATTGGGTAATCTTTACTGATAGATTTTTCTGAACAAAATAAGTTCAGTTACTGTGGATTGAACAAAAATTGGACCAAATATTAAGGACAGATGTTGTGGAACTCTTGGGATTTACACTTTTTTTTTCTTTTTTAACATTATAACAATACATTAAATATTATGGATGTTTTCTTGAGAGAATTAGACATAAAAAGAGGTACCGTATCACATGTCATCATAACCTATTACCATCAATGGTGCAAATAATTTAAAATCATTTCAGGAGCCACTGAAAATGGTCTGGCTGGATTTTGTTGACGGGCCTGAGTTTGACATGCCTGGTCTACATCATTGAACATAATTAGATCTTATTATTGTCACATTTACTGATAGTATTTCACAGCCACCTTCACTGCAGCGAGATGCGGTGAACTTGCTGTCGTTGTCTCCCTGAGTATTGTTTAGCTCCTCGTGTAGAAGCCCTGACACAGAGACACTGCAGGATTGTGGCCATATGTCAGTGTCAGAGAAGATGAGCAGCCTGCGAATCACATAAACACGTCCTCTCTCCCCAGACGCCAATGTTTTTATCACAAAACTCATACCGCAGAACCGCAGAATGAACGTACGCCAACGCAGAGCAGTCCAAGGACTAATGACAAAGGGAATGTGTATGGAGATTCAATTTCTATTAACTATTTAGAATTGTTCATTCCTGCTGTGTTTAGATGAGCAGGGAAACAAGTTTAAATTATTGCATGAAAGATTTGGCTGATGTTAAAACCATTTATACCAGGGGACTCCACATTTTCAATAAAAAGATCCTGGTTTCGATTCCACCTGCAGGGTTTCCGTGTGGAGTTTGTATGTTTGTCTGCTACCTGTGCTTGCGAAGGTTTCCTCTGGGTGCTCCAGTTTCCCCTAGCAACATGTACAATAAGTCTGGCTTGTATGGCGACCCTGCTTTCATCTCCTGGTGGATTGAGAACAATTGTAAAGCGCTTTGTGACTCTGGTCTATGAAAGGCGCTGTATGAATTTAGATTACTTACTTACTTAACTCCGCTCTACTCGATTCTACTCTACTCGACTCCACCCTGAATGGGAGCATTTCTACCTGGACCTCTTTAACCCGTACAGTGGTGTGAGAACAACAACCTAACCCAGGTCCTTCTTGCTGGGAAGCGAAACTGCTAACCACTCAGCCACCAGGGCCAGCTATGTTAGTTATTGAGGAAATCAATGCCATTACAGTCAACATTTTTGTATTTTAAACATTGTATTTTGTATTTGTATTTTAAACATTTCATTCCAATTCAAAGCATTTCTGTGTACAGCCCTAAAATGCATCACCAGTCGTCTTGGAGGGGTTCAAACACAGGAAATGCAATACTTACAAACACATGGATGTCATTGGGTCATAGAGAGAGGGATGACCACTGTCCAGAAATGTTTTTGAATGTCAAAACTGGTTTGATTCTACCAAAAAACTTAACATTAGAAGAGAAAAAACACCTGTCATGCACTTCCAATGCCTAAAAACAACAGTGGATTAGTTTATCTGTTTCAAATCTCGACAGAAGTTTGTGAGGATGCATTTCTGATTTGCTGTTTGTGATTTGTCTTGGAGTTTTAACTTAATTGTCCCCATAAATCCTCAGATTGTCGTGCGCCACATTTCGGAGCTCGGCAGTGTGTGAGTCTGGGTCCATCCATCACAGTGTTACCACTGTCACCGCAGACTGTCGCCCAGTGCACTTTTACTGGAATGTGAGCAAAGATGCAAAAGTGCATTTCCAAGGATACTCAGACATATTAGGCAAAATTGACTTTTTGGGGGGTTTTACAACATTGTTCCTTCACCAAAAACGTTTTGTAAACAGTTCAAACATCTATATACAGTATGGCTGTTTTTAGATCCATCCACACTTCCTCTGGGTGCTCTGCTATCCCCTACCACTAGAAACATAGTTCAGGGAGAATGAGTGTAGTGTCTACAATCTGGAGAGGTGTGTTCATTAACAAGCACTGTCCCAACCAGATAAATAAATGCAAAGTCAATTATGTATTTGATTGCAATCTTGATGGCCATATTTGCATCAACCAGGGCAGGTAAGTACTGTTATGAGCAATCTCTGGGAACTCTCTTGGAATCCAAAATAGCACTGAATCGAACCGATGCATTATTAACAATACATTATGTCGACAAGCTGAGCCATGTTACAGATCTGATCAGTGCAGAGGCAAGCCCACTTGCTGTAAAGGTCAAAACTGCCTTTGTTGGTTGTTGGTAATGACTGACTCCACTGCTGCTCTTCCTGCTCCAGTTTAGAGCTGATGTATTTTGCACAAGTTTTATGGCCGTATTTTCATATCAGTGAGTCCTACATGTATATTGCAGCTACTTATGGTCATGACTGAATTTTAACCAATATAATATTCCTTATGTAGAGAAGTTTTGACATTGAATAGTAATGATTGATAGTGAGTAACTTTCCTGAGATGGAATTTATCCTGAAGGGAAACAATGATTACCCTATACAACACTCTTTGTGTGAGCGTCTGTTTGTATATCTGCAAGTTTGCGAAATATCAACTGGACGTATTGAGCTGAAATTGGATGAATGAATGAGATGTGACGGTAGGAAGGTCCCATTCAATTTTGCAATGTGTTTTGTAGAGTTGTGATAATAATGTACGTACAGTTGCTTTAATTCCATAAAATGCAGCCAGGGTTGTAATTAACAATCCATCCATCCATCCATTTTCTACCCTTTAATCCATTTCTGGGTCAGGGGGGTGGCAGTCAGAGATGCCACCCAAGTCTCATAGCACCAGCCCCTCACTGATCCTCTGCAGGTGGTGAGTCCACAGGAGGACGGCTGCTCTCTGAGTGTGAGCATAGCCTTGATCTTTCAGTGGGGGCTTTGGGCAAAGTGGGGTTAAGTGTCTTGCCCAAGGACACAACAACAGCAGTCATCAGCGGGAGTCGGTGGAGAAGGTGTAGAGGTGTAGAGAGAGGGTAATTAACAATAACTTTGATAATCAATTATTTGTTTTGACTCTGAAAGATCCGAGAATATGAGATTTTTCTAAAGAAACTAGATTAGAGTTTTGGGCGGCACCGCGGTCATTAACGCTTATTTATTAACGGCCAGTGGTCATCCCATCTATGAGCATGTATGGCTCCTTTGTTTGTTATTATTGCATTTATATATACATATAACTATACATTACTTGCACTAATATACAACATTTTAAACTTGCCTTTTATACTTGCTAAGTCAGGGTTTTTTGTACTTAAATCTTTCTTGATTACGCTAAAGTTGGAGATTTTAGACTTCCTTATGATGTTAAAGATGTAGATTTTATTTTATACAGCTTCAGAGATTGTTTTTATTTTAGTTTATTTCTTATTCTACTGTTCTGTAACTGGTGATGCAACACTGACACCGACAAAGAGTGGACTGGCCACAGGGACTTGTCTCCTGCTGGGAACTATGAGGAGCACAGGGACTGGCCTCCTGCTGGTCCCCAGAGTCATAGTTCTAATTTCAATAAAACCCCTTCACAATTTCATATTAGTTTGGCATGAATAACTCGAATTAATTGCAACAGTTAAAGGTTTTCTGTACATGCTAATCAAAATGAACCAGTATGTTTGTGAATAGTGCCACCTTTTGTCCATTCGTAAAACTCCCATCTCCCACACATTTACAACACACGTAATCACCACCGACCAGAATTTATCATTTACAGCATTGACATTCTCCCATTTATTTACTGTACTTGACAAAAAAGAACATTTGTGCAAATTATATAGAGGAATCCCACCGAGGAGTGGATCCACACATGATTTTAAATTAATCTGAACAATAATAAATATACAGAACATGACAATTGTACACGTTTGAAATGCTACACGCACTTTTCACAGTTATACACAACTCCAACCGTCATGTACAATTACTCCAGCATAAAAGGCAAAAAATATAAATGAAAAAACCCTTAAAAATATCCTTCCAGTATTTTTGATGAACACAAAGTAAAATTGATTTGACTTTCTTTGAGCGACTTCTGTAGTAAACCTATGCAGTTCTATAGCAATTAAAATTACAAATAAAAGAAAGAAAAAAAAGAGGAAAAAGTACTCCAAAGTTCCAGTTTAAGTCCACGTATAGGTCACATTGAGTTCTCACGACACAAAAATCAGACAAAAACAGACTCGTAAAACTATATATCAAGAATGTTAAGTATTATGTTATGTTATAGTTTTAATGATACAGATTAATTGGAGGCTTGGACAACATTGTTGGGAATATAATAGCAATAACGCTATTATTATTATTGTAGGTTTAAATATTAGCATAGGTGTAAGTAGAGGTAGACTGTCTCAGAAAATAATTTAGAACAGTGTTGGTGAAAAATATAAAAAAGTGTTGAAATAAAAACCTTAAAAATCCATTTTAATATGCTTCTGCTTATGACACCTGTAGCTCGGTATTACAAATTTGGTGCACCTAAAGCTGGGGGACATAATTTTAAAAACAACAAAAAAATTTTAGGGGAGACATGGTAGAGCTGCAATTATTAGGAATACATCATTTTGTTCATAAAAAGAAAGATATCTTGTTGGGATAGACTCTGACACCACTGCCTTCACTGTTAAATCCGACTCCATTTGACAAATATTGAAAAGTTAGGAAATTGTCTTTGATGAGTACCAACTGTTCTTGCAGACTATATTGTTCATCTTGATGCAAGCACTATTCATTCATTTCTTAATTTACTTGTTTATTGTTTATGTTGGATTTATTCACCAAAATCTGCCAGTCACTCATGATACCAATCTTTTTTATGTCTATTATATTTTACCTACTTATATCGTTTTGGTGCGTTTTTGTGTTTAGGAATAAAAGAATTTGGTTGGATATTATTCAAGTCACTGAAAGATCAAGGCGATGCTCACACTCAAAGAGCAGCCGTCCTCCTGTGGACTCACCACCTGCAGAGGGTCAGTGAGGGGCTGGTGCTATGAGACTTGGGTGGCATCTCTGATTGCCACCCGCCTGACCCATAAACCGATTAAAGGGTAGAAAATGGATGGATGGATGGATTATTCAAGTCCGCCTATAGACGTGCTTTAGCGCTCTGTAAGAAGAAGGTAAGGAATAAGGCTAATAATTGATAATAGAATAAGGTTTGATTGCATTTTGACTGTTTTATCTGCTAATGGAAAAGGCAGGCTTAATCTTTATAGAACTTTTGCTCTTTTAGAATTTTCAGCACAGTGGTAATAGCCAAGTGTGAATTAGTTGATCATTTAATTTCACCAGTAAAAACACCATCAAATGTGGAATAAAACATTCGAATTTTCCAAAAGCACTTTGAACACGATCCTAGCTTCACAGAAATCTAAAACTGAAATAGCTCAAAAAAACACAATTTGATATTTCTTTAAAAGCGTAGAGCCCAAGACTACGGCGGGACAGGTGGGAATTTGATCATGGTCAAAAGCTTTAGGACACCTTTCAGATTGACTAACACATGTATAATTTATTATATTTTTTTACATGACAAAAAAAGGATCTCCCACCTCTTACTGATGTGGAGAGGAGCAGTTAGCAAACGCAACATTAGCATTAGTTTTGTGTTGAACATTTTTGGCACAAAGAAGCGTTTTACATTTTAAAGCCTTAATTAAGTACATATCTCTTTCCTAGTTCAAACGTTGCAACAGTATTTGTTATAGAACATTGAAATTTACATTATCTTTTTATCTTTTTAGTAGTCGCCGGAGTCTTTTAGCCTCTTACAGCTAAAATTTTCGTTTATTGCAATGTTAACAAGTCTGTCAACATCTCACTGAGCCACTGGAGAGTGTTTTGATACCTCGAAGTTAAAATGTGCCTACTGTGTCATATATTTAAAATCAAACATGACAGACTACAAACAGTTATATGCAATGCCAATGTCAAAATTGCAGGTCTAGAAGTATGAACATACATGTAACTTGGACCTATACCTGTAGAAGACAACCAACCTAGCATTGTTTACGGCTCTACTCTCATTAAGAAAAGCCACAATATATAATTTGGTGACGTTTTTGGAGCATGCAGAAAGAGCGAGATAAAAAAGGCCACGAAACAAAGAAAAAGTGCAAATTCATGCCGATGATTGCCGTGTGCCGCCTTCTCCCAGTGTGAGCGAGGAGTTCTGAAGCGAGCACAGCCTCATACCGAGAGAAACTCCTCCGTCCTGCGACACGGACGTTTTTGATTAACTTCAAAGTGCAAATCCAGTTCAAATGAAAGAGGGTTTGAGAGCAGTCCTGTACAAGTGGAATCAGAGGATCCGGTGGCGGCTGATGCTTCTTTCAGCGTCTGACTTCACTTTGCAGTTTTAAGCGGCCTCTGTAAAAGTTCCGTGAACTCGTGCCGCTGTAGACGCATGGGTGATTTGCAGCGTTACTCAGAAACCGCCTGTGAGAGATAAAAGATAAAAGCCATGAAAGCATTTTGGATTCTGGAATATGCATCATGAATAAACTAATGCAAGTTATAAGGCAACAACAACAACAACAAAATACCTGGATCTAAGTCCTCTTCATCCCGAGGCGCTGTGCTCCGTCATCACTGTAGGCTCCTGTCCATGTTGCTCCCCCAGCTGAGGCTTCCTTATGGTGATCTTTATGGGGAGTTCTTTGATGCTGTGGTGCATCCTGGTGTACTGCCGCATCGCCGGGTTGAAAGTGCGTACAATGGGTAGATCGTTATCCAGAGCGGACCCTTGACTTTCTTTTATAATAAGCTTGCTCCTCTTGCTGGAGAAAAAGCTCTGGACTGCCGGCCTTTTGACACTTCCGGTTTGCAGTCTAGTCTTGTGATGCATTGACGTTTGGAGTTTACTTTTGTCCATGTGTTGATTCCTTTCGTTCTCCTCTTTCGTTTTTCTTTCTGCAGGTTTCTTGGGACACACCGCCATATGCTTAGTGCGGCTTCGTCTCATCGTAAACTCCCTTTTGCAATGCGGACACACAAACATCTCCGCAGAATTCGCGCTTGTCAATGAGATTGCCTTTTGCGCCAACTTCTTCTGCCTCTTTGTCAACGCTTTCAACTTCATCTTGGCTTCTGTGCTCAGTTTCTCCGTGTTTAACACGTTGGTCGGACTGGTGGCAGCGAGCACACCATTTTGACCCTTTGCAAAGTGTCTTAACGGGATAGGGTTCTTCTTGGGAGTGTACCGCCGCTTGTCGCTGGCGTTTGCGCAGGCGAGGATGTGCTGATGGAGCTCTGGCATGTTGTCAAAGCTCTTCCCACACTTGGTGCAGCGTATGGCTGTGGTGAAGGTCTGGGGGATGTTGTGAGTGGTGAAGTTGGTTGCCGAAGCATGCGAGTTGGCGGGAGAGCGGTTGTGGTAAGGAAACGGAGGCGGTTTATAGCTAGGATAGTGCTGATTGATGCCCATTCGCAAGTCAGACCCCTTGAGTTTACTCTTATCCGTAGCCATTACTTTTATAGTTGTGAACAATTCATCTACAGCTACATTCGATTTCTCCTTCTTGATGCTTTTATCTTCCTCTTGTGTGTTCACCTTTTTGTCTCTTGAGATATTGTTATGATTCTGTGGCCGTAGCTTCCCCTTCTCCTCCTCTGTGTGCGAGCACTGCTGGCCTGGGTGCAGTTCCTCCTGGTGCTGCTTCAGGTTGCAAAGATAGACAAATTCTTTTGTACAGATGCTGCAGACGTACGTTTTACCAACACCGTGAAGGCTGGATCGATGTTCAAGCAGATCTGCTGGTTTATCAAAGAGAAGCAGGCAGAATTCACATTTGTATGGCCATTTCCCAGCGTGGTCAACTACATGCTGCCCGAGTGCCTTCATCGAATGGAATAGCTTGTCACAAACATTGCAGATGAAATTTTTGGTGAACGTTTGCTCTTGAGAATCACAGTCTTCCTCCTTTTCAACCTTTTCTTGATGTACATCTGTAGTCTTTTCTAGAATGAGTTCATCAACTTGTTCTTGAGACGCTTTTCCTGCCGTCTCAATAACTTGAGGTTCAACATTGCATGGTTCTGCTGGTTTAGGGCTTGTTGTTGTTGTTGTTGTTGAAGTAGTAAGCCTTTCTGATTCCTCAACAGCCGTCATGACTTCCCCAGAGACCACATTTTGCATTTCGGTCGCTGGTAGAGTTTGCTGTTGCTCCATAGGATTCATGAGTGCTTGCAAAGGTTGCTCCATTTTATTTTCTTGTAATGCCGGAACAACACTTCCTCCTTCTTCAACTGATAATGTGCATTCGATTAGCATTGTGTTACTATCAATGTTGAAAGAGTTCAGATCGTTCATTGCTACAGGAGTAGAATCAACTAGAGGTGGGTTCAGGGACATTGATTCTGCTAAAAATACATGTCCTGGTATGTTCAAAGTTGGATCTATTGGTTGTGCTAGCGTGACCAGGTTGGACGAATTCGCAACTGTGATTGCACTCGTTAAATCTGCATTCAAAGCATTATCGGCACAAATGACCAGAGGCTCTTGAGATAAACTGGGGGCGAGAACTTGGAGTGGCTGATTTGATTGGCCAGAGAGGACCTGGGGTGCCAATACAGTGATCAACGAAGGAGCTGTAGGTACCACAGCATCTGCAGTGGGTGAAGCAAAAGCAATAGCGCATGGTGAAGACTGCAGTGTTACCGGAGCTAGAGAGACTGACGATGAGTTGAGACCATTTGCAGGAATTGTAAAAACAAGCCTATCTGTGAGCTGATCCACCGGAGTTGCAAGATCTGACCCAGTTACTATGGTAAAATCTGTTAATAAAGGCAGCATACTTGTAGTTTGTTCACCCGTGCCATCGAATCTATTCTGATCACTCACATTAGCAATTGTAATAAAATTAGCTTGTTCAAGAGAGTCCTCCAAGCTTTTCTTTTGCACACTTAAATCTAGCACTGCATTAGCCAAAGCCACATCTTCACCTCTTCTAACCGTACTAGACAAATCTAGCGGTTTCAGATTACAAGCGTTGCCACCGATTACTAAAGGCCTATTACTATCCAAATCCAGCTCTTCAATAGCTTGTGCTGCCTCTACTCTTTCATTCTCTGCTTGTTCTTCACATGCATAATTGTGATTTTCTATTGATTCAACACTTAATTTACATTCAAGTATGTCCGCCATGTCTTCGCTTTGCTGGGGTGTACTCGTTCGCCTTTTAAATCTTGTTAGATCTGAATTTGTTTCATTTAAAACTTGGGTAGAATTTAAAATCAGGGAATCCACGCTGACTAAAGCCGAGGCCTCTGACGAATTGTGCATTGCGCTTGCCGACACTAGCTTCCCGTCAATAAAAAAACTCAAATTCTTTGAGATATCACTTGAAATGTCCAGTATATATTGCCCTGCTTGTTGGAGCTCTTGTGAGTCTGTATGGATTACAATAGGTGTGTTCTCCTCTTGAGTTACCTCGTGAAACCTGCGCTCATGTCTTTGCCTGTTTGTGAGCGAGTTAAACACTTTGGAGCAGTGATGACAAGGATGATGCCCCTCTGGAGTCTCTGTACCAGTTTCATATGAAGAATCTGGTAAAACAGTGCCCTCTAGTGTCTGTCTCTTGCTGTGGATGTGCATGTGACGCTCCAGTCCCTGTTTGCAGGTGAAGTCTCTCTCGCAGTAAGGACAGGGGAAGCAAGCAAGTGTGGAGGTTGTGTCTTCGTGGTTGAGGTCTGGCTTGGTGGAATCCGGCACCTGGGTGGCATCATTTCCCCCTGTGTCTGTGTCCCCATACTGAGATACATACGAGCGGATGTAGGCCATGGTTTGAGTTTAGACGATTACACCTGAAGAGACAGAGAAATGTCAGGAACACATACACAATTGATTAAGTACTTTTTTTCTGTACTTACCATTGCCATGTTTCCAGTATCTTCAGTACGCACTAGTTCAAAGTTCCTGTGAGGAAAAAAATGACAACAGGGATGGGTATGTTAAATATGTATGGGGAAAAGAGCTCTTTAGAGCATTCACAAAGTCACCAGTGTTCCGAGTGACTCATTAAGTTAGCTAAGAAAGGCTTTAAGTTTGTACAGCCCAGTTACAACACACATAAATCATCACATTACATTAAAAAGAGTGAAGATACAATTCTTCAGTTGTATGCACAGCTAAACATAACTGCTTTTTACCCTGGATTGGAACATTGTCAGAAAAGAAGACTGTTTATTAGTGGTTCTTTTCTTAAGCAACTTTAGTTTGGTAATTATAATGCAAGTAACATGCTTCCATTTTTCATAGAATTGCATATTTGCATTTAACACTAGAAAGATACAGAACTGAACAAGATAAGACAACGTCCAATGCCACCCAAACAGGATAAATGCAACAGACAGCATTTTCTGTTTCTATTTACATGAAGTGTTTATTACCTGCAGTTAAAAGCAACTCAAAGTTGTGTAATATAAATAATGCATGTATATTGAAATATGAATCTATGCAATTTTTTTCCGTGTAAATACATACACTTTATATAATACAATTTAGAAAAACTTGCCCAACCCTGAAACTCACATCATTGCTCTATTCATGCACCTTAAAAGCCTTTACGATTAAGAGATTGTTTATTCGTCCCACAGTGGGGGAATTTCAGTGTTGCATCACAAGTTATAGAACAGTAGGAATGAGAAGCACACAGCACAAGATAAGTAAATAATTAAAATAGAACAAAATCTCTAACTCTAGCATCAATAAAAACTCTCTTGAATATAATAATAATAAAAAGAAGTGAAAAAGTTTTACATTTAGCAAAATAAGAGGCAAGTATAAAGTACTGTGTATTCTAGTGCAAGCAATACATATACTTTTTTTTTTAAAGCAAATATTTTCGATTATCACTAGTTATACTTTTATGTATCTACTGTATGTTCAAAATAATGTCTTTGACGCAGTTCGAATGCACCTGTAACTATCAAAGCGTTAACACACGTCTTTCAAACACTCTCATCAACCATTTAACATTTCCTCTAACGTTAAATCTTAAATACACACTTCAGAGACAGCAGCTTTACACGCTTTACTTCTTATCTGTGGTGTAACGCTGGGCACATCCAGGCCTGTAGTACAGATTTATCCGACCTGAGATAAACCCTAAATTACGACGTACTTTTAATTGGCATTTTACATTAATTAAGAATACAACCCGAAGTGCACTTATGTGGAACTGTGATGTTGTTTACTACAGTACAGACCGCGCTTTACTGATTATTTGAGTTAAAATGATTTCACCTGCTGCTGATGACGCTCCCACGTCCTTGCACCATTGCCTGCTGCATGTACAACACGTCGTCACTCCACTGATTGGGACTGCTAGCATCAACAGAAGGTCAAATTACGCCGTTTAATACATTCCCCGCGTATAATATCAACTCGACGACATGCAATTAAACCTTGCAAACACCCGCACTGAAAACAATCCGGAGTTTCTGATTTAGGAAGCGCTAAAAGCAGTACAACGCGAAGAGTGAGCGTGTTAGCCTGATGCTAACTAAGCTAACTTTGATGGGAATTTATTAGAAGGAGCGCGTGAACACTTTTTGCTATGGTTGACAAAAAGTCAGGGTATTCCATGACTGTATTACTTACCGTTCATAGCTGTAACAATAACAAGATTAGCACAGTTTCTTCTGGTACATAATGTGGACAGCTGTGTATGTTTTCCCCTTCCTCAGTGCACCAAGCAGCTTCTCTCGTTCTGATTGGCCAGCGCAGTGTTGATGTGAGAAACGAGCCAATCGCAGGCCTGTTTGTTGGTCGTCCGTGACTGGGAGGGGGGCAGCTGTCAGAAGGGAACAGCTGTGACCACAACTGTTGGAAATGTTATTTTGAACCTGTGCAAAGCCACAACCAGTTTGACAATGAATTAATGTAAGGGAAATAATGTGTTTATTTTTGGGTGTTTTTGTTTTAAAACCCACGTGTCCAGTTAGAATACTCATTTCATTAAAACATAGTTACCACTAGGACTTCCACAGAATTCTGAAACTTCTAGAACTCTCATAACCGTAATTTTGACAGCTCTTATTCAAACCAATAGTATTCTGAGAAAGTGCTAAAACTGGCTTAGCTGTACATACCACTGAATGATTGTATCTTCACACTTTTTTTTGGGTGTGTTTATTTTTGTATTTATGCCTTGTGTATGAACTGTCCTATACAAATAAACTTGCCTTATGCTTTTTCACTGCCATGCCCGCGCAGCACCCACATCCTCTGTTCGTGTACATATTTATATTAAAATTAAAAAATGAGTATGTGTTTGCATATTTCAATCAGATGTGTGTTAGCCCATGTGTTTCCACCAGCCCTACTCTGCTCTGCTCTGCTCTATTGTTCCTGCTTGTGTTTCCATATTACACCTTAGTATCTGACACTGTCTTCCCATAGCAACAACCCACAACAAACCAATA